TTGAATGGTTGAAAATCGTGTATTAAAGATGTGCTATTGGTAATGTCAATGCTTTTTAAATGAGTTAATACTTCATTAAATTTCCTAACAAAAATGCCATCCTGTCGATTTCTATTTCAATGTCAATTCTTTGGTTTGTACATTTTGTTATATGTGAAATCATAGCTCCATCAAACAACTTATCAAATATATTTATTTCACTATTTGAATCTTCGATGTTTTTGATTTGTATTGGAGTTGTGTCAATTTTTATATCATTTTTGTTGAGTTGACATTTGTTTTTCCAAATCAAATCACCCATTTTGTTTGTTGTAGTGTTTTCTGTTTTCTGTAAAGCAATTTCAAATATTTGGTTTTTATGTTTTTGTTCTCGATATAATTTTGTTTTGAGTTTTTCTATCATCCTGTTTTCAGCTACAACTCAATTACATCTTCAGATAATTTTCCTATTTCAATTATTTCTTCTGAACACTGGTTTTGTAGAAATAAAATGTCATCATCATATATAACATTTCCAGTAATTATGTGGTCTAATTCCAAATATTCATCATCACCAATATATGATAATTCTTCTTCCATTTGTTTTAACATTTTTAGTACATTTTAATAATTTACAACTTGAAAATCAAAAAAATATATTGTTTCGGTGGTAAGAATTGTTATTAGTTTTATATTTATTTTGTTTTCGAAATAAATAAAAATAAAATAAAATTTTATTGACGTGGCAAAACAAAGATCTTTATAATCAAATAAACAAATAGTAATTGTATGAGTCAATGTTAAATTTATTACAAATCCTTTGGATTTATAAAAACGTTTTTTGAATTACTATGTTATTGAGTAAAACAAATTGTAAATTGATAGACACAACCAAATGAAATGGTATTGATGTCAAAACAACCAAAAAATGTCAAGTGTTCAAATAGTAATTACTCTGATCCAACTACCAACTAAATAGAAAACATCTATATGCGAAAACCATCAACATTAAGACTGGTATTTTTGTAGACTTATTGATATACAAGTTTAAAAAGGACAATAACAAAATTAACCAATGTTGATCGTCAATATTATGGAATATAAGTATGGATTTGTTTTGTATATTTCATATAAAAATGAAATTATTGAATATGAAATATAGAAAAATAAAAACGATATATTAGTTACTTAATAAAGTGTTTGTTTATCGGGTTTTTTCGTGTGTATTACAATACACATTTTCCCTCTTTTTCTGAAAAGTGTAATTATATTTCAAAATGTAATTTTTTAAAAACATTTTTTTTGAAAAATAACATTTTTAATAAATAATTTATTCATTTAACACGTTTTAGTTTATTTTGTGTTTTTTTCCCAGAATTTTTTTCAATGAAACACAACATACTATTTTGCCGAACTACCAAAACCAAAATTTTTAAATAACAATTTCACTGAATAATCTCCAAAATTCAAAACGATAATATCTGATCGAGTCCTTGATGGAAAAGATGCCTTTGATTATAAAAACTAAAGGTTTAAACAAAAACAGTTCGTTTTTAAAATTTTTTATAGCAATATCAAATTGAGTAATATGTTTAACGTTGAATATTATGATAAAGATACTTAATTTTAGGGACGGTTGTCGAAGTTAATCTTGTTAGAAAAAACAGACGTACTAACATCTACAATTGAAAACATGTATATTTATAATATAAACACTCTATGAATCAATGTGAATCAAGTTGATGAAATGTCACTTCAAGTGACGACAAAAATGCTTATTACAAACGTTCTTCGTTTTAGTAAATTACCACAAATTATAAAACACTTGGAGATGGTGTAAAATAACAATAATTCGAATATCTTAGTGATTTATGTTATCATTTGAATATTAATTTTACTAAAATCATAAGGATAAAAATCCACAAAGGAGTTCAAACAAGTTTTTCCTCTTTTTTTAATTTTTTTACACTCAGCAAAAAAATAAAACATCAACTTTTTTATTTTTTTCATATAAAACTGGAAAAAGGAAGCTCCAACGTGATAAATTAATCAGTATTTTGATCAATCTTTAAACCTCATATAAAAATCTTTAAGTTTTTTTATATAAATACAAATAATTGTAAAGTTTTTTAAGTTTAAAATAACAGACAAAAAACACTAAAATTTCTGTTCTGGACTCGACCAATCCATTTTAAAATTTTTCAATCCTATTTTATGACGTGCGACTGGCCCACAATTTGTTCCTATTATTTTCAGACTTTTGTTTTTACTATCATAAAACAAATAGTCTTTATCTTTAAAACAATATCTTTGAGTACATTTTTCCATTTCGACTTTTTCACACACATCATCCTTCATATCATAATTACTTCCACCATCAATTTCTTTTTTATTCGTTTGAATTCTTTTTTGATCTTCCAAACACTTTAAATACTTTTGATACTTGGGATAATAAAAAGAGTAGAATACATAATTGTGGACGCTTTGATCATGTCCCCATGACGCCCATTTTGATGGGTTGATGTACTTTTCCATTAAGTGGAGATACTCCAATACTTGTTCTGTTCCTCCAAAGACATTTCCCACATT